ACTGGTTATTTGATTTCAAGATTTGATTCTTCTGTATCTACTTGACCGAGCGTCGGATTCCGGAAACACCAGCCCCCTAGTCCGACCATTTATCCCATAGCGCAGATTCACAACCATCTCTATCATGGGGACTGAGAGGTAAAATGGCAAGGGGGCATATAAGACTAGGAGGTCTGGGAATGAGGACCATTCAGAGGACCATTCCGTGTCTTCTTCGTTGGGTTTAGAGGCGGTAGAAGTGGAAGGAAGGGCAGGCCAAATCTCGTAAGCACGCTCTATGGCTGCTTGGGCTTCGTGTTCTGTCTTTCTGCTTCTTCAGAAGGTGGCGAAAGGGGTGAAAAAGGGCACGTACCATTCACACAGGTTTACCGTCTATAGCCCCAAACCGTCGTTGTTCTGGCTCTTGTTTTGTCTTTGTGGTCCGTGTCGTTGAGAACGACCTGGTCAGCGTTGGGAGGCGTGTCGTCTGAGTTCGTGAATGTGAGTAAGTTTGAAGTCGTACGCGCGAAGGAAGAGGAGGAATGCGTAGTGGAAGGGGAAGAAAATTTTCGGCTAGGGTTAGGGTAATAAATCATGTGAGGTGACGTGTTCGGCCTAGCCCGAGTTTAGGTTGGTTTCGTACCACCATGTTCGAGCTCATTGCAATGCTCGATATCGTACGTCGGTGAAAGGTATGTTTCTTTGTGGAGAGGTTGCGGCAAAGCTGAATGTTTACCAGGAGAGTTGGCGTTACGCAGGATCATTTGATTGACTCCTACCTCAGGCTAAATGTATCAAAGGAAACGACAAGACTGAAAACTTGCACGCCTCAAACACAGAGCTACTATCTAGCACAAGAAGATAAGGCCGACCCAAGCACTTCCCTTTCGGCGTTAACTGATTTGATGTCGGAAACCGCCGCACATCAGTCAGATATGCCGTTTTGGGAACTCAGGATGTTTTCACCACTAAGTCCCGCCGCCTTCGTTCCCTTGGGTAAATGCTGCTTGAGTTTAATATTGGTTAGTAGCATTGATACTTACTGTGTTGTATATATGTGAACTGTTGGTTTTATTGGAGGTTTCTGGCTGGAGAGAACTCGGATATTAGTTTCACCGGGCGAAACTCAGGAACAAAAAGTTTCAAAATTATGCGAAAATATCGCTCAATTCGCAGTACGCATGTCGCGTCCTGCAAGTTTTTGCACGTCGTGCTCAGCTTCAAAGCTTCACTCCTCGCACATCACCACCCAGCTTCACAATGCCTGGTCCCCGCAACAGCCCCTTGAAGAAATCGACGTGACGTAAACCTCATAACGCGTGGCGCAACATTACGCCCGCAGAGGCAAGGGGACGCGTTTTTATCAGCAAATCACGTCGCGTCAGGCGTACATGCGCAAGACCTAACCATTAGGCGGCACCATGCGGTGGTTCATGCACAGTAAAAACACGGAGAAGAAAAATATCAAACATAAGAAACTTTTGCCACGTCGAGAGCTACTATAATGGTGAGTAGTGATGATAGTATCACTATGTAAAGCATTTAATTGTATATATACACATGCTCGAACGAAGGCGGCGGGACTTAGTGGTGAAAACATCCTGAGTTCCCAAAACGGCATATCTGACTGATGTGCGGCGGTTTCCGACATCAAATCAGTTAACGCCGAAAGGGAAGTGCTTGGGTCGGCCTTGTCTTCCTAGCACAAGACCATTCCACCCATACCTTCATGTCATGGGTTCGGCGCTATAGATCCGAGTCCCGGGTCAGAGTTTAGCCTCATGGTTGGGCTTCGTACCACGATCCCGATATCGATTGACGCCGGGGTACGTAGCTTAAAATGTTCTGACTTTGAAATGTCACATCGTGTACAGGCGCCAAGTTTTGACGCACATCGAGTTTTTACTCTCAGCTAGGGAAGGCTCACGATTTCCGTAGTCCTTCAATTGATAAGGTCCAAAATCCATGGGTACGTCTCATTCTCATACCTTACACACCAGCTATAATTGAGATCCCTGGTTGTACATGCGGCACTTTTACCTAAGGTTACAGGTTGTGCAACGTCCGCATGAGCTGCGTTCGACTGTCAGTCAGGAAATATTTAACTTTCAGGGTGCCTTCTTTGCTGTCACGGACACGTGGTTCACTGGCGTTTGTCTCGTTCTTCCGCCGCCGAACTCTCAAGATGGAACGCTCATGTTTGAGGACTTTGCCATAAACACGGTGAGTCTTTGTCCCTTTCTTGATCCTCGCCATATTTTGATGATAGCTCACAAGGTAAGTTTCAATGTACGTTACACGTTTGATGACATTTACGCCATTGGCGGAGAACTTTTTGGCCTAGGGTGTGCTGTCCTGTGATGTGTTTTGGCTTTATCACAGTTGACATTTGACACTAAGTACTTTGGTAAACGTCGAAGGCAGCGGCCATGCTTGCTGATCAAGTTGGTCCACAGAAGGCTTCTAATATCTCAAATCTCATATCGGTAGTAGTCTTCCCTAGGCAGACTTATACCCACCGTGAGGATGCAAGCGTGTACGTTGCTTATCGGTAGAAATCTCCACCGGCGGGCTCTTTCGAACGGAGCTTGAAAGGGTGGACGATGCTTATCATTACTGACTTGCCCTTTGCCACCTTCTTCCTTGCCCTTCCCCTACAGACGGGCTGCCCCTCGCCCCACTTTGTATAAACACACGATGATCAATGTCATCCGTGGTTTGACTACCAATCGCGGCGCCTTTAACAACATTCACGGGGCCCAATACAACAACAGCAGAAACACCAACGACCATATCGCCGGCGATATGAACTCCTATCATACAGAAAATCATGGAAATAATAATGTCACTAACAACGGGGCCAACTATGCTGCCAGGCCGGGAAGAGGTGTGTTCTTTGCGAAGCTTGTGCAGATGCGATGCTGACAGATACGAAACAATCTAGCTCAGAGACGACCTCCAGCTCCCCGTCATGACCATGGGTACGAAGACTCTTCTATGGGATATGACCGTTATGGCCCAGAGCCACCTTATCAGCGACGTGATGATCGTCAGCAACTGCCACCTCGTAACTCATACGACGACCGAGGCTATGGACCGCAATCGGCTCCTCCTCGTTATGATCAATGTTACAATCCACAATCGCCCGATCCCCAGGGCTGCCCTCGGGATTTACCACCTTCGGTCGCACCGAGGCCTGCACCTCTACCGCATATGGGCTCTGTGCTTGCGGAAGTAGAGCAAGGCCTTCCGAATCAGTATCCTCAGCAAGCACCCCGCTCACACATCTTGACCTCACAGTCCCGCCGTTCGTCGAAGAAGCCATATCATAAGCAGGCAGCGGACCGGAAGATTTACAAAGACGAGTCGAAATATGGAGACGATTCCGCAGCTGGAGATGGTGCCGATACTGGAAACCGTCCGAGTATATATTCCTCTGCACCAAAGGAAGATACAGAGGCTTTCATCGCGGAGAATTTGGATAGTCATCTAGATGTAGACTCGGCGGCGAGGGCAGGGAACGATGCGAATGAAGCCGGGGACTATTATCAGAGAAGTAAGCCATACAAGTCCCCACAGAGCCTAATAATCATTTATCCCTTTGCTTTTCAGCTGAAAATGGAGCCCTACATTCTCCCATTTCCAATGACGGTAATGAAGATACTACTAGTGTTTTGAACGATTTGGGTAGGTCCTGTTACCGGTTTGTTATCATGTTTTCTCACTATCAAGACAGCAAATCAGTCTGACGCGAGCAACTGGATCAGTAACTTCTTCATCACAAAAAATAATGGTGGCCACAACACGACTCATAATCAAAGCGTTGTTTACGAACAGTGGCATGAGATTTTTCCCTTTCTCAACTCGTTGTTTTCCGCACATCCAGTACCAAAGGAGCCGGAAGGCTCAGAACGCCCGGAGCCCCAAAACAAAGTACAGGAAACACAAGATCAGGATTTGTCCGGTCGGCTTTCCAAAGCTTTTTGGCCGGCTAGATTTCGACGATTCTTAGGTCCAAAGAGCCCTGCGTTACTAGTCAGTGCTAACGCACCTTCACACTGGAGCGAGAAGACCCACTACAGACTGTTAGTACTATTTATTGGTACTTGCTGTCTCGGGCGACCCGCTTTCGCATTTATGCGCCCTTTGGCCCAAATTAGCACAGAACAGTGTTGAAAAGCCGGCCAGGCAAATTCTGATGCCGCCTGGACCTCACTCCATCTAATTGGCTTGTATGATTCGGCCCACTACTATATACTGAAATGCCACATCTATTCGTTCGAGGAAATTGATATCTCATACACGATTCCCGTAAGGTGAGGTGTGATAAGGTGAAATGGATCATAGATTCCCGTGACTGTTGATTAGATCGTGAATGTCGAATCGGGACAAGAGCGGTGATTAGGTGGTAGCGTTAAAAACCACGGTCGACGATTAAGGGAATGAAGCATCAAGGAACTTGAAGTTGATAACGACTCGACAGGGCCAGATGTAAAGTTGTCCAAGGATTCGATCGGCATCAAAGGAATCAAGGTTGAGAGGAATGGAATAGGAACATCCAAATCGAAGACCAGAGACCAGTTTTCGTACTAGGCGACGTATCTCTTAATACTTAGCACCGTCCATCCATTCACGTAGCATGTATGCTGTGAGGGTGTTCTATTCGTAAAATGTATGGATGATAACGATGATTTCACACCTTCAGCTCTGGTTTGATGATTCGCCAGGGCTCAAACTAGGGTTGAAAAGCTGGGTTCGTATCTCATGTAGTAACTTTAAGCTCGCCAATGGTGAAACTGATTTCTTGATTTCAGTATCTGCTTCTTCATTCCGACCGTATCTTCGGTATAACGGAGAGTCAGTGGACTCTCTTGATACCTATGTATAGCCATCTCCTAGCCTAGCAGTGGAGGCTCGAATTCCAGTCATATGCATCTGGCGATACCCGATCGGGGCGGAGATCAGTGAAGAAAACCGATAGCTTCACCGATAGGTTTAGGATCAAGTCAATAGTACCGACTTCCCTGGTAGTATATCGGTTAGTACACGCGCCTGTCATCACTCTTGATCTATGTTGCGCGCGAAAGCTGGGTTCGACTCCCAGCCAGGGAGATCCTATATGATCAGAGGGTTTTGCAAGTTTTAATTTTTAATCTGGGTTACTGTACATGCGTAGCACTTGACCACACTCCCAAACCTCAATATCACCGCCTCTCTATCCCCAGCTGGTCCTCCAATCGCCTCTGAACCTCAGCCAACTGTTCGACGCTAAGTGTACGGAAGAACTGAACGTCCGGTACACCCCCGCCTGAAAGGATGTTTTCGACTGCTTGGGCGACTAGGGGGTCGGATGTGAGGGGTATCGTTGATTTGGTTGGTTCTGGTTCCGTTTCTGAGGTGGAAGTCGACGTGGAAGGTGATGAAATCTCCTGAGCGAGTGTTTCTGACTCCTTGATCGACTCCTCCAGCGCGTCGATGTCGCTAGTTAGACCTTCCACGCGAGCTTCTTCTACCAGTTCCCTTTCTTCGTCCTTCGCCATCTCCACACCTTCGATGTCCGCTTCAGTGCCTAACGTAGGCGGTGCATATGCGGGCATGTAGCCTAATCACCGGTCGTCTGCCAACACATCTCGTACCGTGGAGTCGCCGGAAAAGATACGTTGGACGAGTGCGCCTCCTTCAGCGTGCAGAGGAAGGGGGTGATATGTGACTTTTGTGGGGCTGGAGTCGGCAGGGGTGTTGAGGAGCGTTGGCAGGTCGGAAGTGCGTATGGGTGTGGGTGTGGAGGTACCGGAGGAGGTGGGGGAAAAGAATAGTTGACAGACCTGCAGGGTATTGGTGTCGAGGAGATAGATGGCGGATTCTTCAGCGCCGTGGATTGTGAATAGGAAGGATTCGCCCGGGGGTATCTCCAGTACACCTCCTTCGGTCCCTTCTACCTCCTCTTCCTCGCCCAACTGATGCTCCGATACCCCTTCAACCCCATCCTCCCCTTCTGCCTCAAACTCGGCAGGTAAAGAACGAAACACCAGGCCCCGTGTCTGACCACTAATCCCATAGCGCAAGTTGACGACCATCTCTATCATGGGGATTGAGAGATAGAACGGCGAGGGGGCGTATGGGACTAGGAGGTCTGGGAATGAGAACCAGTCGGAAGACCATTCCATGTCTTCTTCGTTGGGGGTATAAGGGGATATAGAAGGCCAAATCTCGTATGCGCGTTGGATGGCTTGCTGGGCTTCGTGTTCTGTCTTTCAGCCTGGTCAGTAGGTAACGCAAGGAGTGACAAAGAGCACGTACCAACCACACAGGTTTACCATCTATAGCTCCGGATCGTCGAGGTTCCTGCTGCTCTTGTTTTGACTTTGTGGTACGCGTCGTTGAGAACGACCTATGGCTATATCTTGTCGTCGTCAGTGTCCATGTCGTCGTGGTCGTGAGTAAGAGTAAGGTTGAAGTCGTATGCTGGGTAGTGGAAGGCGTACGCGAGAGAGCGTTCTGACACCGTCGATGTTGACGTCAGAGAATTTTTTCCCCGTTCGGTTAGGGTTAGGGTAGGATGACATGTGATGCGTTCGGTTCGGTGTTCGGCGGTCTGAGCCCTGGGTCGATTTCGTACTACCAATGCCATGTTCTTTGCTTGTATGTTTTTCTTTGTGGAGGTTGCGAGAAAGCTGAATCTTAGCTAGGGAAACTCCTGGTACATGGACACTGCAAGATAAGATAGATTACCTCCCTGGTAGTATATCGGTTAGTACACGCGCCTGTCATGGATTAATGAATTATGCAACCGCGCGAAAGCTGGGTTCGACTCCCAGCCAGGGAGAATAAATCGTCCCCGAGGATGTCATTCCATTTTTCCTTGATTGTTATGCGCTTTTCTCATTTCTTCAACACGACTCGCTTCGGCGTGGCTTCGCTTTGCCGGTACGTCTATCCAGGTAGATGTTGTTCTGACTTTTAGGTGTCATCTAAAGTACACGCGATGTGTTTCAACGTACGCTGGATTTATGCGAGAGCCTGGTTTGCGGGTAGATCTTTTGCTCAATCAAAGTTCCACCGGTGTGCCCCCATCTCGAGTTTCGGCCTCATGGTTGGTGGTTCCGTACCACAATATCGATGTCAACTCTTCCTTGTGGAGGTATGTTCTTATCGCTGGTCCTTCTTGAGAACCAAACTCTTACACTCGGCGCTTGCAACAGACTGAAATACCACTCCTTGGTAGTCGATTGGTCCCCGGCAAAGCCGGGTTAGAATCCCAGCCAGGGCGATAAAATGATGATTCCAATGAGGTTTTCTCCCTCGTTTCTTTGGTATGATTTGCTTTGGCCCGGGAGTACGTGGCTTTGAACCTCAAAGGTCATAATGAGTCTTGATGCACCCGTAATAATTGTAGAGGTACGTTTGGGCAGCGCAACACGTCCTTATCGACTCACAAAAGTCGTTCATTCTCGTTTCGAAGTACGCTGTGAGCATACCTTTCAACTTGATTTGAATCCCGCCGGGCTGCTATGTCGATATTACACGAGTACGCCCCATCTAGATTTTCAGCCTCAGGAATTGGCTTCGTAGTATCGCTTCTTTGTACGAGGTATGTTCTTCGCGCTTTTCCTTCTTGAAACCCTGATGCTGACTTTATCTAGAGCACTGGCGCGTGCAACAGACTGGTATACAACTCCTTGGTAGCATACTGGACAGTACACACATAAGGCGCCAAAGCTGGGTTCGAATCCAGCCAGGCGAATTCAAGATCTCGGACAGACTCGTTTTCTCCGTCGTTTCTTTGATACAATTCGCTTCTGTGTTCGCATTTTGAAAACACGCAACATATTTTATCGATTCTTGATATAGCCGGTGGTACGTCTGTTGATTGTCCTGATATATGGTTTCATGATTTTGAGATACAGTATTGCAGTCTCCGAGAGTACACGGGGTTTCAACCTTCAAGGTACGCTGGGAGTTACTCTGCGAGCATGCCTTTGATTTATCTACCCTACGACTCGGTAAGTCGAACCTTACTGCAATCCGAGTGTACGTCCTATGGGCGTAGCTCTTATACCACCACTAATCAGATCCCTGATGGTCCATCGGTCAGTACATCCGGTGTGATTCAGGTTGGACGTCGGTACCGTTCGCACTGGGTTCGACTCCCAGTCAGGGAATGAAGAGGTCGCGTGCTGTTTTGCCGCTACCTTTTGTAAGTATTTGATTCGTTGTCTCCCCTTCCCAATCTCAACATGAACTCAACATGAAACCATCATATTCGGTGGTCTTTCCATGAATCGCCGTTACGCGCCGGGACCAGGTTCCCTTTATGAATACACATGCCAGATTTCGCTCTACTTCAACTTCACGCTAGACCTCGTTTTCGTGTACACAGGTCCCTGGTCTATACATGCGAGATTACTATATATGCGCATACGCTAGGTTGATTAGCATTCGTGCATATTGAACACCCAGGTTCCCTTCCGCTCCCTTGATTGAACTTTCGAACTTTTGAATTACATGCTATGGATCGTTTATTGAATCCTTGCGACTGACTTCGTTTACAGTGATAACGCGTCATTCATGGCTCACGAACATAATCAATTCATATGACGATAGATCTGTCCATCACGGAGGTCGAAACCCGTTGTAGTATCGATCTCCTAGCTCAGCGGTAGAGCGTCGGATTCCAGTTCGCGTATCGACATTGCATCCCGAAGGTCATCCGTTCAATCCGGGTGGAGATCACTGTCTCGCTAACGTTCGTTTTTATCCTACGGCCAGGACGAAGGTGTGAAAGTGTATTACTACACAGCTTGCGACTCGTACCGTGGATCGCTTGAATGGTATGTGAGTTTTGAATTTCCTGGTTCCTTTTTATTGTTTTGACACGGATCGGTTTGTAATTTCACGCGACTGACGATTTGCACGCGCTATGAGTGACATGCACCCGGAGTATGTCTGTTGGTTGTGTATGTTGTTTTGATTAGTCTCCCAGAGGTACGCATTTCCCTGTGGATTTTACTTTCGATTTCAATAACGTCGGTGTCTTTGCTCTATCGATGTATCTGCCTGGTACGTCTCATTCTATGATCTTGCACATTTGTACTCTAGGATCCCTGGTACGTAGTACATCTTACGATAACTGTGCTCAGTCGGGCGAATGTGAGATCTATTACAATAATCAAGTCCTTGCTTCAACGGTTTTTCCCTCAGCGTCTTTCATTACATCTTGACATTTAACATTGAGCTTGCAAGTCTCACAGCCCCGTATCCCCGTAGGTCCTAGCAAAGTTACAATCCCGTATTGTTCGCTCAAGCTATATTGAATAGACGGTCTATGCACCACAACGAAGATATGTACCAAAATCGATATAGGAATATGAAAGCCCTGATAGTACACTGGTCAGCATCCGCGAGATTGTAATTAGACTCCTCGGATAACGTGGGTTCGAATCCCAATCAGGGGGATAGTGGTCGCATCGAGTGCTTTTTGTTCACATCTTGGACTATCCATGCCCCAGACGATCCTTTCTCCTCTCCGGTATTTTGACACCAGGAATTTGTGTAATATCCTTCTGAGTCTTTTCTCGGTAGGCACTTTACAAATATGATACTCTTTGATGACGCAGGGGTGTGCATTTTGGTTTGACCTGTATACCTAATGAAAGGTTACTACTCCCTGGGTGGTTTCGAGCTGTTGATATCTAGCATTTGGCCGAATTGAGTCACGGTTTGACTCCCTATCAGAGATCAAGTTATCAAGGTATCTTGGGATGATTTTGAATGGAATAGTGATTGTTTTCTCATTGTCTCTATACGAATTCATTTGGTAGCCCGCGTGGCATCATATGTACGCGACATGGATCCAACATGTTCCCGCGTACGTAGGGCTTGAAACCCAGATGAATTGAGGTGTTCCCTTTTAAAGTCTGGGGATGTCGGCTATCACTGGGGGTGCCAAATATAGAGAAAACCATTATGATAGTGTGCCACGTTTTTGCCTCGTTGCTTAGCTTATTGCCCTGACTTGGACACGAATAACGTGGTGTCCACTTCTTGACTTGCACAACGACCATCGACGACAGTGCGTTCATCAACAACCTGCCGTAGAGTTCTACTACTAACCTTTTTGTTCAAGCAGATCATGAAGAGTCAACCTAGGCCTATTATCGATTTCGTACCTGCAAAGGTGCTCTCGAAGATATTCCTCGATGTTGAGCTGGATTACAATGACACAGACTTTGTAACCCAGAGCGCATTTTTATGTGCCTGTCAAGGGAAGTCCATCTCGATTGGATCACATTTGGGCAGCGTCTGCAAACGTTGGCGGACAGTCACCCTCGACACCCCCGCTCTTTGGGCATCGCTTCATATTTCGGTTATCCCCGGATGGAACAGAGACCCGTTTCGATTATTGAATCGTGTGTATGATCCACCTCGAGCGTTCCGGCAACGCACCTTTATCAATTCACCTAACCGTTGCAAATACCGACTTGGTGATGCAAGCTATCGTGGGTCAAGTGGTGAATGCCCCCGTAGAGCTGCGCGCCTGGTGCATGCTCATCAAAACCCTCTTCAATCATTCTGATCGCATCCACCGTTTGGCGTTTGTTTTGGGAGGCATTTCTGGCGATGATCCATCCGCAGCATTCATTCTTTCCACTTTCCGCCACTCTTTTACTTCTCTTCGCCATCTCTCCCTTTCCACACCACAATCGCCACATGAAGTTTTGGATCTTTCGATATTTCCAATCCACAGCTTTACGCTTCACCAACCTTGCCGAAGCGACAACTTCTTCCGATGGCACACATTACCACTGTCGCAGATTACGGAGCTCGGCTTATTGGATGTGACTCCACAAGTGCTCTTAATGTTTCTTCCACGCTTTCCCAACTTGATGGTGGCAAAGCTCCGCATCTGTTATTCTCATTCACCACACTCCGATCTCTCTCGAGCTACTCGACTCCTTTTGCCTCACTTGCACACTCTGGAGATCAGGTACATCGACGAGTGGGAATCAGATGACTTATTCCTTGCTCTAGAGATATTGGTCCTTCCCGCATTGACTCATTTCTCACTCATCGTCAAGGAAGACTCCAGTGTATGTATGTTCGTTCAACAACGAAGCGTTTACCCAGCAATGCAGCATCTCCTCGAGCATGTTCGTGTCCTCCGCATGACACGGGTTCCCTTCGACATCTGTCACATCCCGCAGCTATTAGCGAAGCTACGAAGTGTTGCTGAACTAGCCATTACGCAGCTGCAAGTTGGTTCGATCCCTGCAGCAGCTTCCATCAGCACTGTGGTGCTGAAAGAGTTGTCTAAGGAAGGCATTGTGCCACAGCTGCGTAGTTTGACGATTGTGGTTCCAAAAGAGCCGGAGGACGGGTTACTCGAAAAGATGCGTGAATCTCGGTCGGACGTGCTTCGTTCAGTGGATATAAAGGTGCAGATGGATGATAAATATCGGCTTGGGATGATGGTTGTGCAGAATATGGCAGAGGAATTTGTACCTTGAAACTTGAAGTGTTAGGTTTACGCGGGCTGATGACCAGTTCTGCGGATTGGCTGTGTTACGACTCTGTTCTATATGGGCTATGATCTATGTCTTGATTTCTTGAAGTTTGTACTATACAATTGTCGTAAATTCTCTGAATGTAGTACACTTGGATTTGACCATGTTTTGGGCCCATGTCTTTGCATTCGAGCCGCCCTAGATTGAGCGTCTATTCTGCAGTCATCCATTAGTTTGTCACACTTGTGACATCCTCTCTTTGATCACTATCACCATCATGATTGCCCGAACCGTATGTTCTCCTCTTGTATTACCACGCTAGATGTCGGCTCCCTTCCGCCGGAAACCCTTTTACTCATATCTGGTGTGGTTGATGACCCATCTGACATGTCCGAATTTCCTCTAATGATACATACTTGGTCTTTGACAGTCTTAACCAAGTCTGCCGTCGGTGGAGAAGCATCGCAACTGCTTCACTCTGGGCAGCGATCCTGCTCGATGCAGGAGGTTATCCCTTTTCGACCGCAAATATGCATCTTCAACGCTTGTAAACTCATCCTTTAACCATCACAATCGAGCTTGATGACTTCACCGTAAATGAAGCGAACCCCATCCTTGCTGCCGTGAGTCCCTCATGGCCACGCATTACCGAAGATCGCGAATCGGACTACTTATGTAGTGGGTCCTTGCGATATTTTTAACCTTCTTTTCCGCAACGCTGCCCAGATCCATCACCTTTCAGTTCACGCTATTTATGGCAAATCATCAACATTTGAGTTCGATTTCATGACGAGGCTGCAGGGCAGATTGGAAGCCTTGCTCATGATGTTGGCAATCACAGACACGATAACCAAGATTCTAAACGGTCGAATCATCACCAACCACTTCATGAAGGTACTAGGGGAATGCGAGGTTGGACCAGAGTTGAAGGATATTAGAATTGTTCGGGGTGGCCCTTCGCTGGAAAAGGGCGCAGTTGAGAGTATGTTGTCGAGTCGAAGATATATGTCGCGTCTACGGTCAGCGCATCTGATGGTCGATCAGTCCACGGTGGAAGCTCTCAACCTCGACTCGTTGCGAGAATTACAACATGGAGGTCTAGCAGTACGGGTAGTTAGCAGGAATAGTGGCGAGGAAGTACTTGGATATGAAATGGAGCAATAAGCCGGTATGGTGACGCTGATATGTATTCTTTCTTGTCTCAATATTGACTGCCTTCTTATCTTGCCGACTGCGGGGTTCAAGTTGACTATTCACATCATTGATCAAGCAGAATCCGGTCATCTTGACCTTACTGCGAATAAGAATACAGACAGTATCCTATTTTCAAATCTACATGACTTTCTTTGGTAGACAAAAAAACTGAGCCTGTCCGTTCGTTTACTCCATCCCGTTTCGTACCTCCTTGGGATAATGTCAAAACGTCAACGTCTCATTAGTTAAGCGTGTTGGGCGGGAGCTGAAATAAGACCCTCCTCGGAGCTTTGGCATCGTATGTGTACCAGACATTAGTTAAAGCGGCAAAAGGGATTATATAAATTATGTTGAGCCTCATTACTTGAACGTGGATGCTTGTAGCCTGTACAAGATAAAATGTACGCCTTTAAGTCTAGCTTTCGCGCCAAATGCGCGCCAAAGTACCCGGATTGAGCGCTTAATTGATGTGATCAGATAACGGATCGTGACAGCTGTGACATGTTTTCTTGCTCAAAACCACCATCAGTTCAAACGAAGTAACCAAAACGTACGCGTCTGGCAAGTATATCGCAAACAGTACTGACACATTCAACTCGGATGAATCCTACGCCTCCAATAGACTCACTACCACTCGAGATCCTCGCTGGCGTTTTCCTGGAAGTGAACAGTCGCACAAACGAAGGCAAGCCATGCCCTCAAAATGTTTTCCACAAGTTTCGCAGCTCGCCATACTCCACTGCTTCTCTTCTGGGTAGTGTGTGTCGTGGATGGAGAAATGTCACATTGAATACGCCTGCACTTTGGGCATCAATGTTGATAGAATTCGACGACTCTGGTTACACCGAGTGCGTGATAGAGCATCTACAGATGCATCTAGAACGCTCCATGCCAGGCCCACTTTTCATACAGATGGTCTTTGACAAGGAAGATTTTCATAGGGATGGTTATTCCCATCTCGTCAGTGCAGCTGGGGGTGCATTTCACCATGGAAACGATCAGTCATTTCACCCCGAGTTGATCATCCCCTGCCGA